CTCTCTCTCTCTCTCTCTCTCTCTCTCTCTCTCTCCCCTGTTAGCTAAATCTTCCTTCTCTCATTACTGACCATGTCCCCACCAAAACCTCTGTTTCTCTGTCTCTCTCTAACTCCGTCTCTTCTCTCTGTCTCTCTGTCCCCTGTCGCGTGCTCTCTCTTTCTCTCTCTCTCTCTCTCTCTCTCTCTCTCTCTCTCTCTCTCTCTCTCTGCCTTATTATCTCTCTGTTTGTAATACGTCACAATACACAGTATCCGTTTTGTGGGAGGTTGGTAGACGTCACTGGCAGGGCATATATCTTTTCTTACCGTCTGTTCTCTTCTTTCTGTCTATCATCTGTCTTACTTTTTCCCAGCACCAAATAACCGTTAGTGTATCGATGTGCCTCTCTCTACTGAACAAGTATGCTTCCTCCTTATATTTATTTAATATTCCTTTGGCAAATACCATTAGTAACACTGCAGTCTGTGTGTACTTTCAACTCGCACTACAAAAGACAAATTGCGACGCGTCAAACCCAGACAAAATAATGTTGTCATCGAACCATGACCTATAATTTGCACACGTCAGTGGAAATATAATATCTCACGCTTTTTTATTCCACGTTACGTTTAATACCCCTACGTAGTTCGGTACATTCTGACTGGAGTTAGTGGGTGGTTGGTGGGCGCTCTGGTGTGGTTTGCTTCTTCTTTCCTATTAAACATCTATCGTCCTTATTTCACCTCCTTCTTTTTTGTGTTTGTTACTCTCTTGTAACACCTCTAATCTTCGGCACTTATATGACCTTATTGTGTTGCTAGTGCTGTAAAACACTTACAAAAACCAAAGTGACTGGAGTTACAAAAGTCTTGGAGACCGTTTTCCTTGGGGTATGCAGGCCATCTCTATAACACACTGCCGCCTCAGAATCACAAAGTTCTATGTGCTCAGTACCTAGATCTAGTTTTGAGGATTTGATGTAAAACATTTTGAGTTTCGCAACACGTCAAGCTTTTTCGCATGCAATTCCTTGAATATCTTGACAACCACTTCGAATAATCTTCCGATTTTGACAGCGCGTTGAACATTAATTTTGGTTTCTGACACCATAGTCTTCGTCTTTAAAAACGGCCAAAAAACGTCGATAGACCTTTGTAATTCTGAGATAAAGACGCTACACAGAAACGGATTTTCTGTGTCCAACCCCCCCCCCCACCCCCCCCACACACACACACACACACGCGCACACACACACACACACACACACACACACACACACACACACACACACGCACACAATGTGGTTTTACAAACGAACTAAGCGTTGGAATGTCGTCGGAAGAAAAAAAGAAAAAACGAAAAACAAAAGGAAAAGAAAGTGACTGTAAGAGACCATACTCCTGGAAAAAAGTAACAAGACCATGACATTGTAATCCCCAGACGTCGAAGACATGAAAACTCTGCCTCTAAAGAGGTGGGGGGGGGGGGATCGTAAACGACCTTTCTGTACCCGATCCATCAGAAGAACGTAGAACACATGCCGCCAGTTCCGCCGACTCTATTACTGTGAGGCCCCTGGGTGTTCCAATAGCTGGCGGCTCAGGGAAACGCCGAACAAATCTGTGGCATTGTGGGGATTTGTTTGACTCTGTTATACGTCTCTAGTTAGAGGTTTGGTCTGTCTGTCTGTCTGTCTGTCTGTCTGTCTGTCTGTCTGTCTGTCTGTCTGTCTGTCTGTCTGTCTGTCTGTCTGTCTGTCAGTGTGTCCGTCTGTGCGTCTGTATGTCTGTCTGTCTGTCTGTCTCCCTCTCTCTCTCTCTCTCTCTCTCTCTCT